CAAAAAGGGGGACATTGCTCTAAGTTATGATGTTTCATGTTTTGATGATTTGCCAAACGTTCTCAAGGAACTAGGTACGGACCAGATATGATCAGTACATGTAAGGAATCCGATTCTCAGGGGGAATATCAATTTGGGGTTTGTCATCATCAAAAAGAGAAAAATGATAAGTTATGGTATCTTGTGTTTTGATGATTTGCCAAACAATCTTGAAGAGCCAGTTGTAATCAATTCCTTTGGTCTGGTTCTCATGGGGAATATGGCTGATTCGCAGGGGGAACAATGTGGAGATCTGGTTCTCAGGAGGAATATCAATTATTAGTTTGTCATGATCAAAAAGGGGAAATTGATAAGTTATGCTTCTTTTGTTTTGATGATTTGACAAACTTCATGAGAGGAACAAATAAGGAACCTGATACAATTAATTCTCTTGCGTTCAGAGTAACCAGTCAGATGTCTGGTTGAATTCTCAACGAAATCAGATAAGGGAACAGCAGAGGGAACAAATATGGATCAGCTCCCTCGGTCGTTGTATAGTCAACTCTACAGCTTCAAACATTCTCAAGACTTTAAGATCACAATGTTCCAGTTTGGGATATGGCTCAACTATTCAGAGTCGAAGGAACAGCTGAGGGAACATGTCCCTACTGGTTCCCGAGGTGACTGTGTGAAGTCAACTCTCCAGCTGGAAAGTGTTGCCTGCACACGCTACAGTGCAACACTCACCTTTCTGCAGAAAGCTTTTTACCTACCTTGATTACATCATTGTATGTGAGGTCACACATGTATTATTAACAACAAGGGAGGTAAAACACAATCACTTGAACACTTGCAAAATCAAAAGAAAATATTCTCTCAAGTGCTAGACACAACCTCTCTCAAGAACAAAGCTGTTGCAATCTGAAGGACCAGATCAAAAGATTGAAAATATCTTAAGTCCTTAGGTTTGTTGAGTCTTTGTTATTTGTTCTTCATTTGTAACTCCTACTTAGCTTAGTTAGAAGCATTGTGTAGGAAACCCTTTGTAAATCATAAACCCTTGTATTTGTGTATTGGCTAGAGTTAGTCGAGTTGTGAAGTATTTGTAATAGAGCTATTACAAAGTGGCTTGTAATAGTGTTGTTACAAGTTAGTGGGTGATTAAGTCTTTGTAATAGAGTTATTACAAAGTGGCTTGTAATAATGTAGTTACAAGTTAGTGAGGGATTAAGAGGTTAATTCCTAGGTTACAATAGGTTGTAGTCTAAAGATTGCTCAATAATGAAGTTGAAATCTACAAGGGTAGGTCGTGATTTTTAATCCCGTTGAGTTGGGAGTTTTCCACGTAAAATTCCTCTGTGTTCTTTATTTACTGCCGATTTACTGTAGGAACAAATAGAGAACCTGATTCCCTATGCTGACAGTGTGTTGCTTACAGTGGCAACTAATAGAGAACCCGGTTCTCTATAAAGTTTGGTGGACGCTTAGTTTCTATCATGTAACAGGAAAATCATCCTCCAATAGGTTCCATCAACATCCTAGATAACAAATTTGCTATTCATAATAGTATGCATAACTACAATACTAGAATTCATAACCAATAACGGAAATAGGAAGAAGGAAGTGAAAAACTCGTAGAAGAATTCTCTGCCTTGCTCCTAGTGTGTTCTTCCTCAGGTCGAATCCCCAGTCTAATGTCGGTCTCTCTTATCCAATCTCCATCTCCCTTCAAAATTGGTGTTTAATGACTATTTATATGTGTAGGGAAAAGATCCAAACAAAAAAAACAAATTCAAAATCAAAAAAGAGACAAAATAGACTTTAAAAACCCGGAACATGCTCGCCACAAACCTCACCTCGCGAGGCAAAACGCACGCTCCACCTCGCGTTAGGCCTGGCGACGCAAGCTCTAACGCGAGCTAGAAAGCTTGCTACGCCTGATTTCGTTCTGATGCTATTTCAATTAGCCATTTGCTGCCTAACTTTCTATTCTCGTTTCTATTCACTTTTCTTGCCTTTCTTCTTTCAATTATTCTTCTTTTGTCCCCTAATTAAATCATCACAACTTCATTCTTGTAGTGTATAAAATATACATAAAATCTCTACTTTGCTTTCAATTTTGTATTTAACGTACCTACACATAAAATAAACTCAATTAAGTACAAGTATAGTATAGTTTAGCATTAAAGCACTTAAAATGTAAGTTAAATAATGCACTAAAATAGGGAATTATAGCCGAACATCATGTAACAACAAAGTCACTTAACTATGCCTATAGCACTCAAAAAGTCACTCAACTTGATTTTCCAAAATTTGGATTGCCAAATACCTATTTTACGCTTTAAATTATAAGCATTTATCTTCTTTTTATTTTATTTTTTAACTTTTTGATATTATGATTTTTTTCCATTTTAATTTATATTATGGCTTACCTATATAATAAATAAATTTTATTTATAAACTAAAAAAATAAAAAGTATTTAATCATATATAATGTTGGAATAACAAAATAAATTAAAAAATTAATTAGAATAATTTGTTCGTAATAATTTTAGTATTAACAAATAAGTACAAAAAATTATTTACACAATTGAGAATGAAAGAAAATAAAGGTTTTAAAATATATATTCTATCCACGTAATATAAAAATAATTATTTAAATAAAGGTATTTTTATAATATATTATATATTCTTGAAAATTATGCTCAGTTATATTATTATTTCGTCATTATATGAGCTGAAAACTAATTTTTTCTTTTTTATTTAATAAATAAAATATATTTATTCTACAGGTAAGTCCACAATGTAGATTAAAAAGAGAAAAAATTATAATGTTTAAATTAAAAAATTGATAATTTAGAGGGTAAAATAGGTATTTGACAATCAAAAATTTGGAAAATCTAGTTGAGTGACCTTTTGAGTGCTATAGGCATATTTAAGTGACTTTGTTGTTACAAACGAAAGAAAAAGGGAAAAAGGTCAAATTTGTCCCTCTACTTTATAAAATTATTCACGTTTGTCCTTAGTTTTACTATCCGTCCAAATTTGTCCCTACCGTTAAGAAAGTAAACAAATTCGTCCCTAATCCTAACAGAATTCCAACGTGGCACTGGGTCTCTTTTTTTTGACTGCCAACTAGGCAAATTTTCAACCCAAACTAATAAGATCCGCTCCTATTATCTGATCCGACTAGCCTAATCCTTTTTTTTTTGGTAATTAAATACTAGCTAGCCTAAATCCTTATTTCTATCGAAAATCAATAACAAAAAGAGATTCAGTTTTTGAACCCAAGAATACTAAGAATCCAAATTAAAAAAGGCCTAAGAAAAACACAAAAGAGAAAGTTAAATAAAGTTTTATCTCCAGAAAAAAAAGTTTTACATACATTAATGGAGATGGGTTTTGGAGCTTTAACATTTCAATGGCTCAAACCAATCTGATTCAATACATCCAAAGATTTGCCCATAAATTTTTTGGGTGTCAAAGCTGTAATTTTAGAGGCCTAATTGAAGAGGGAACAAAATAACCTTTCTCTGTTATTGAAAAAGCCCTTGCAGGAACCAGAAATAGAAAGTCCAGTTTTCAATGAACACACCATTTTTTTCTTCCTAAAGATCCGGCTATTAGTCAAGGATATAACATCCAACAATAAATTCCCACAAAATTCACCTACCCTTTTGGATCAAGAATCAATTTATTCGAATAGACAAGAATGGAGAAACAAAGCACTAAACTTTTTGAATAGGTAACGACTGGTTGTGATGCAAAAATATGGGTTCTTTTGGACCAGTATAAGGGCGAAAATATATTGTGGCAGAGACGAACAAATTAAGAAAGAGAAGAATTGGTGGGGAGAATAATCTTGTTTTTAGGCTAGTCGGATCAGATAATAGGAGCGGATCTTATTAGCTTGGGTTGAAAATTTGCCTAGTTGGCAGTCAAAGAGAAGAGACTCAGTGCCACGTTGGAATTCTGTTAGGGTTAGGGACGAATTTGTTTACTTTTTTAACGGTGGGGACAAATTTGGACGGATAGTAGAACTAGGGACAAACGTGAATAATTTTATAAAGTAGAGGGACAAATCTGACATTTTTCCCAAAGAAAAATGACTTTAGCAGATAATTTGGGATAGTTGAATAACCATTTGAATAATAAACTCATTAGTCATGTCGTCGAAGTTTTGGGTTAATTTTTCAATTATTTTTGTACCACTGAAGTTGTAGTAGAAGACATCTACATTAATAAGGCTTTAAAGCACGCCTTAAGCTCTAAGGCTTGCTATTTTATATACCCGCTACTTCTCTTAATATAGGATTTGTCGAGAGTGTTACATATCAAATCAATAGTAATGTATTATTTTTTTATCCATCACATTGTATCTTAATTATTGTTGTTGCTTGTTGCTGGCACCAGTCTTAAGGGAGCTTTGACAACTTCCGTAGGTTCTACCGTTCTAGCTGCTGATGTTTTTTACCATTATATATTGGACGATAAGGAAAGGGAAAATTACCCACCGAGAAAAATAAAAGGTTCAAGAAAAAGAAAAAAAGGAAAGGGAAAATTAAGGGGCTAATGGAAATCGCTTCCACACCTAATGGTTGGAAGATTGCTACTCTAGATTATAAGTTGTTGGTGTAGATTTACTAGGACATCATTTCTGCTGCTGTCCACGAATTTATATTAGGATCTGCCTCTCGCATCTCACTGCATTTTTTGGTATAGGGGTTTTGTCCCTTTGCTCTAATGTTTGTTGTGTTGCTTTATGTCTCTCTTAAAAAGCTCTACCGATTGTAAGGAGGACTGATTCAGTCATGGTAAAAAGCTGTAATTATTGGATTAGTTTAATCTATTTCTTTAAAAGCATCATTCTAATATAATGACATTTATCGAACAACGTAATGACAATTGATTAGTCCGAGCTCTGAGATTCCCAACTGGATAATGACAATTTATTAGTCTGAAACGAATGATAAACAATATAATTATATTATATATAATAATATAATAATGATGATAATAGATTCGATCAGAAGTAAACTCATAATTCATTAACATGAGGCAAGTGGACAACAGATATTTCTCCCTCTTCACTTCCGTGTGAGATCGATTTTACAACTGATTTTAGAACATAAACGTAAAATTACAGATAGTCCCTAACTTGTTTGGGACTGTTGTTGATGTTGCAGATACAACAAAGAGGCTGAAAGAATTACAGGAAATGAAACTAAAGGGAAAAAGAAACATGTGGTAATTAAGGATTAGATGCATATCTGGAACAACCCAAAAAACTGATGATTTTGTTGGCAATCGAGGATTTCAACATGAATGGCAGCTCTCTTCCATCCAAATCACAGCTCAATTTTCCCTGTATGACGGATAACAAAGCATGTGAGGGGTTCCCTTACAACCCAACATTTTATTATTGTAATTTACGCAGCAACATGTCTCGTGCACCATGTACATTTATTAGCTGAGGAAATCAAAGGACAAGAATTGAGAATAATTAATGGACAGAAAATGTGTATCTATGTAAAAAGATAAGAACTATCCACGGAAACTGCTGGATCGGTGCCATGAAATATTTGATAAGAATCACCAGCTGGTTACTGAATACTTTTTTTTTTATAATGGTTGAGCCGAACTAGCTCGCACACACCTCGATAAATTCACCGGGTACTAGCTACCTTCGACCAACACCGATCCCGGATAACTCTATCCACCAAGGCTTAGACACAGATGTGAAGAACTAACCTACTGTATTAATCTCCACTAGGATTTGAACCTGAGACATCATGGTTCTCCACCCACTTTATTGACCACTAGGCTACATCCTTCGGTGCAGGCCGGTTACTAAATACTTTCTCTTGTCCATATTATCTGTCTTATAAAACTTTTGCACACCCCTTAAAAAAAACAGAGGCGGAGCTAGCCCTTCAAATATGGATTCGGCCGAACCCAGTAACTTTGTCCAAACCCTGTATTTGTCTTAAAAAATTATCGAATTATACACAAATTATTAATTTAGAACCTAATAACTTAAAAGAATTAGAATATTGAGCCCATGAATTTCAAATCCTGGCTCCGCCTCTAAAGAAAAACATTAACAATAGATTCTATCATAAAAATTTTGTCTAAATTATCCTTCACCTCTCCTTAAACGTCTCACCTAATTAACGCTAGACTATTTGAAATAGTAAGGATAGATTTGAAAATAGAACTTAATGAATGAGTTCTTGTTTCTATAAAACATCAAACATTTTAAGACAAATGTTGTTTGCTAAATCAACTAATATTTGGAAGCAGAGGTAGCATCAAATAGGGAGTTGCAAGGAGGAGAAATAACATACCAGATAAATACAGGGTCAAAAGTTTTTAGCCAAGCAGCAGTACATCATGCTTGGACATAGTCCACACCGTTGCGCTTACGTTTGTTGGATGCTGAAAAGAAGCATATCTGAGCCCACGATTTCTTCTGCTTAACTGGCTGTGGTTTCACGTCCCTCTTGACAGCAAGATCAGCCATATACTGCACAACAGCCTGAGGAGCAAAACAAACATTAGTGAGCCATCTATCAGAACTAATTGAAACAATTAGTTGCAAAAAGAACCCCAATTAAAATCCAGAGAGCATAATAATAGTATAAAATAAAAATTAAACACACCTGTGCTCCCATCTCAACAATATTTCCTGGTGGCACTTCCAAAGGATTTCCTGCTGTTTTTAGGACGCGCAAATGAGAAAGCATCCTGAACGAATCTGGAAGAATTCGAATCTGGTTGTTACTCATATCCAACTCCTCGAGCATCTCAAGGTTTCCAATGGACCTAGGGAGTGATTGCATGTCTGCAAAATTGTTGCTAATGTTTAGCTTTACCAGTGTGGTAGCAAAGCACAAGCTCTCAGGCACTGACTCAAGTTCATTGAAACTAACATTGAGCTCTTTCAAACTTGTTAAGGATGCCATAGTCGTAGGCAATTGCCTGATGTTATTGTATCGCACTGACAGAATCTCCAAAGAACCCATTCGTCCCACAGCTTCAGGAAGGGCTTTAAGACGGTTATAGTCAGCACGAAGCTCCTTGAGCGGAGTACATTGACCAATAGAGTGAGGAAGTTCCTCAAGCTCATTAGTCTCGACAATCAATTTTCTGAGACTGACAAGGGATCCCACTGTCTCTGGCAGCATCGATAACATGTTAGAGCTCAGATCAAGTTCCTGAAGGCGAGCTAACCTTGCAAAAGTCGAAGGCAATGACTTCAGGTTGTTTCCATTTAGGTCAAGAAAGACCAAGTTAAGCAGATCTCCTATTGAATCGGGCAATTCAACAATTCTATTTCCGTGCAAATCTAGTTTTTGCAAAAATGAAAGGCCCCCTATCGTAGTCGGCAGCACAGCAATTCGATTCTCAGAGAAATCTAAAGTCACCAAATTTGATAGCTTCCCTAGCGAATCTGGAACCCATTCTACTTGGTCCGACAATTTTCTTCGAAGAATAAGCTCCTTAGTTCCCTTTTTGGCTGATACTTCTACCAAACTAGCAAGCTTTATCAAGCTCAATTTTTCACCATCTTGACCTACAGACAGTGCTTCTCGATCAAACTAAGAATTTCAAATAAACAGAACCAAAACAACTAGACATAATTTCCATATTATAGGCAACAAAATTCTTCAATTAACTTAAGATTTCATACATAGTCCTAACAGGTCGGATGTAGCATTAAAGTTATGTGTTCATCCGAACTGAGTAGTTTTGGCTAAGATCCTGTACGTGTGTTAAAAATCCACTAAATAAGTACAGAAAGTAGATTTTGAACCCAGTAAATCAGAAAGGTTGTGGTAAAATTTCAAACTCAGAAGTTCAAATTCTAAAAAGTCCTAACACACACACACACACATACAGATACACAAACTCAAACACACACACTAATGAGCCTAACGCAAATTATGGTGCAGGAAATAGATTAAACTTACCAGTACTGGGTTTCAAACTGGAATCGACAATCTGAGGCGCTGAAGAAGCGTTCCCAGATCGAACCCCAAAGCTAACTCCATCTAATTGAAACGTGGTTTTCGCCTTCTTCAAGTAACTATCATCTCTCGTAACTAGTTCAGACACTTTAGCAGGCTCTTTCTCGCTATAAAAGCTGGACGAAGACGTCGTAGTAGTGGTTGTTGCAGTCGCCGGAGAACTGAAGCTGCTGCCAGAGAAGGACGACGAATTCGCCAAAGACAAACCACTCGAATTCCTTGAAGATGCTGAAGATGTATTATTAGCTTGAGAATTCGATGACAGGCATTTCGAAGCTCTCTGGATCAATTCGTCGAACAAGTAGTGTGCATTCTCGAGATCTAACAGTTTTAATGATTCTCTCTTCTGTTCTCTACTCTGAAAATCAACTAAATTCCTCTGCATCTCTTGCAGTATTTTGAACAGCTCTTCTGGAACATCTTTTCGTTTGTTTTGTTTAGCAATAATTTCCATCCTCGTTTGTTCCTCTTTTTCCACGGTTTTTATTAACGCTTTTGCTGCTTCTACTTCATCAATCCCTGGCCTTATTGGTAGAGATTTGTTAATTTTCATGAGCTCTTCCACTACCTCGTCAATCGTCATTGTTAAGGATCCCATTTCTACAATATCACTCTATGAATTTGGTCGAAAGAAAATAAACAGAATGTGAAAAAGGACCTACACACAGAAATCCGCCCACAGTTTCCAAAAGTAAAGTGAAGAAAGACAATTTCGCTTTCTCAAATCAACTACAGATCAAGTAATTGAGAAAGCCATTATTGATTTTTCTTTCTAACGAAGTTTCTAGAAGCGCCAGTCAGTGTTGACAAGAATACTACAAACGTTAATCACACCAAAATATAGAAAACAAAAGCTTATTTTTCGTGTTTTATACAGTGAAAAAATGACTGTTTAGAAACACGCAAAGAACAATGGTTTCTTTTTTAACAGTGTATGAAAATATGAAGAGGAAATGGAGTGAAGAAGAAGAGTTTTGTAGAGAGTTTGGTTTGATGGAAAATACAAGTATATTAGCTTGAGGGTGCCTATTTATTTATACAGATAAAGAATAATACCACTGCCGATGGTTTTGTTGATGCATTATTAGCTTATAGCAGTGAAGAATGAATTTATGATAAATAATGTAGTAGTAAGATTTAATAGTTTGATTAAAAACAAGAATATACCACTGCCATTGGCTGTTGCTAATGGTTTTTGATGCATTATTAGCACTCCATCCTCCAATTCATGTGATTTAGTTTAACTATGAGCAGAACTTCAAAAAAGAAAGAACATTTTGATATTAATGTGTCATAATATTTGTGTGACCGTAAAGCTGTGTCAATTGGTTTTGTGGCTCTTTACAAATTTATTTTTAATTTTATGACATTACCTTTTTTTTTTTTAAATATATGGAAGATTTATTTTTACAAGTAAAAGATCTGTCTTTTAAACGTTAGAGATGTAAAAAGGTCATTTTCTTAATTATAAAATTATAAAGGAGTATGATGTACAAATAACACCTATAAAGCTTCTAATATAAAATGTTTAAAAGTTACATTCTTTTCGTAATGTAAAAATATATAACATTATATTGATAAGCAAATAATGTCACATAAAGAAATCCGAAAGAGTTAACAATGAAGAACGAATTTATTATTAAAAATTTAATTGAAAACAAGAAACAGTGAGACTGATCGGTTAATAACGATATATCTGTTGCGGCGTTCGCTTCTAAGTATTTATTTTGGTCCAGCACTGTAGCAGCATCCAAATGCCAAAAGGTGAAAAAGCTTGGACGTATATTTGGAATTTTGGATCCGTCCGAACACCTAAGAATACAAAAAGCAGTCATTTTTCAGAACTATATATATATGGTGTTATAAAATAATAAAAGAAGAAGAACATTATTGCAGAGAAAAATAGAGAGAGAGGATTCTTATTGATTTGGAGTAAATTACAATGGAATAGAACTCTCTATTTATAGGGAGAGAGTGACTTAGCCACCAAGTAATAAACCCTAGAATCTCTCTAAATATAGACATTCACCATAAGTAAAATTCTATTTATAACACTCCCCCTTGAATGTCTATTCAACAGATAATATGCCCCGTTAAAACCTTAACTAAAATAAAACCCAATGGGAAAAAAATTTCTAGAAAAGGAAAAAGAGTACAAATATCTAACAATACGCCTTTTGGTTGCCTCGTTAAAAACCTTGCAAGGAAAACCCAATGGGACAAAACCTTGTAAGGGAAAAAGAGTACAACGCGTATTAACTCCCCCTGATGAGAGCATCATTCACATCCTTAAGCATTTGCATTCCAATCTTGTGCACCATCTTCAATAGATCTTTGGTAGAGATTTGATGAACAAATCAGCCATATTAACTTGAATGAATATATTGCACCTTGAAAATCCTCGCTATCACATTATCATGCTTATAGTTATAGCAAGATACCTTTGTGCACAAATTGCACTTAGGATGTGATCATTCGTGACCAAAAAATTCTCCAAGAATTGCATATGCTATCAGCATTTTAAATAGTTCATGGATTGCCATATAAGTATAGTCAATAAGCCATATAGTGGACTTTAGATGCATATCAAGTTTTCATGTCATGCTAGACATATAAGATATCGAAAACTGATTGCACATACCATTGACTTTATACTTTCAAGTGTTTGAACTGCAGTTCCAAAACTACATGTCTTTCATATGAAACCAATTCTACTTGAATTGTTTCTATAGACGTAAGATCCTCATATATATTTAGCGTTATCATAGATGTTGTCGACAAACATTCTATATCGGTTTCAATATTTTTTCATAAAGACATAACATAGAGATCTCTTCATTCATATTTTCAGGTACCTGAATCTCTCTTGAGATTTTATGAAGTGTTATGTCAAGTGATCTTCTAGATCACTTGCCTCCTTTATTATGATCATTTTGATCATAATTTGCTCATCTTCTTTATCAAGAAGTTTATTTGAAACCGATTGTCTATACGCTTTAAGTTTACCATAGACTTTGTCTTTCTAGGACTTAATAGGAGCATTTGCAATGAGAATATAGCTACTTTCTTTGGGTCAGCAAATGTGTCTGGCATGCTTTGCATTATATTGCACATGAATTATCCTTTTATGAACTTCAAGTTCATATTATCTTATTCGAGGATCTAGATGTACAAATGATAATTCATTCCACGTAACCTTTTCTCAACCGTTTATCATGTCTTCCCCTCATGTTAGAAAAACTAACTTGTTACCTCAACTTTGAGAATCCACCTTTGTGCGTTATGGTGTTAATCAAAATATACACCGCACATCAATAATAATAAGATGGAATTATTTGGTTCCTGACCCTGAACCACTTGTGAGGGGAGAAAAAAATATACTTTCGTATATAACGTATATCAAACTGATATATATAACTTTGTTCTCATAAGCAATTGTTTAGCTATTAAGTAGAGGCACTTAATAAATCATTTCGCTAAACGAACTGTGATGTAAACCTACTTTTCAAGATGAACTTCTTGAATAAAAAATCTGAAAATTATGCTCGAAATTAAATTATTGAGCAAGTTACCTCGCAAAACATCATGTTGCGGGTTAATAATAATTGCACATGTAATCATCTCATAGATTCATCTTATGTGGTATACATGGCAGGTGAATGGGCCCATATTCACCTTTGATATTTCCAGCATTCATGGGATTCAACCCCAATTTTAGTTGGTCTATTAATTAATGAGAACAAGTAACATAAGAGAATTCATAAAGAACTTTCTAGTTCTTTATTATTTACCCATGTGAATTCTCTATTATTTTTGCACATCATACTTAAATTGATATGGCTAAACCAATTATGCCAACTGAATAAATTATCAATATTGATAAACTTCAGGTTTACACCATGACGTGTGCAATTATCAATAAACTCCAAGTTTATTATGATATAGGTTTTTATATCAATAAACATCCACTTTAGTGTGGTATTCTTTTATTTGTGTAGTACAAACTGGAGAATAAAGCGGGTAGCTTTTCACATACATATTACCCCGCTACAAGTTGTAGTAATAGAAGATATTAAATCTTTCCTTTATTTATAGTCTCAATATAATCAACCGCTTTCTCGTATACTTTGGAAACTGACTAAGTTTCTTTGAGACTTACTACAATACAATACCTTATTGGTAATCAATTGTGTTTCTCCAAAATAGTAATAATTGGCTCTTCCAGAGCTCTCAATTAATTTGGTACTACCACATATTCATCAACATCCATATGGTGAATATCTCTTTTAAAGAGAAAGTTATACCATAATGGTTATGGTCAAAATTACATGCAAGATCTGTTTCTTGCATTATTGTTGTCTTTTAATAATCACAATGCCAAAAATATTTTGGCATACAATAAGTACGTGACCAATGACCATTCATGCCATAATAATGACATTATTTTCTTATATCATCTCAAACCTCCTTCTAGAGGTGAGTGTGGTATATTCACTACCACTAGCACGTTCATATTATTCCAAGAATGAATATATATTCATAAATAAGATGTTGTCACATTCACATCATGAATGGACCATAATCATCTATATGTGCTTTATAAAATCTCATGTCAAATCGATGACAAATATTTTTCACAGAGTGAAAGATTATTTTGAAAATCCTTATTGTTCTCATTACCACAAATGATGACGATTATAATTTCGTCTATTGCCACGTCCATATCCATTGATACATTCATAGTAATAATTTTGTCTTCTTTCAGACTTATCACATACTGCTATCACATTCTCTTAAGGGAATGAGAATGGAGCAAATTCAATGGGACGGGTTTTCAATTCTTTGCCCACAATCATACATGAATTTGATCATGGCGAGGCATAGAAATTTTACCACTTCAGGTAGTTATAATTTCTTACAAACTCCATTAGAGTTATAATCAAACTTTGTTGTCTTTGCTTGTATTTAAAATCAAAGTATAAAATAAAAGAGAAAAATACGGTAAAATACTTACCTAAAATCCAGAATTTAATCATGAAGGAAGTTCATGGAATAATTGACAATCATTATGCTCAATCCCAAAGCTTCTACTCAATTGGTTAGAGTTTCGTGCTGATAACGTGTTATAAAATAATAAAATAAGAAGAACACTATTGCAGAGAAAAGTAGAGAGAGAGGATTCTTATTGATTTGGAGTGAATTATAATGGAATAGAACCCTCTATTTATAGGGAGAGAGTGACTTAGCCACCAAGTAATAAACCCTAGAATCTCTATAAATATAGACATTCACCATAAATAAAATTCTATTTATAACATATGGGAAATTTTCATAATATCTTTTAGTAGAAATTAGTCATCTATAGATACCATTTGCTATATTACGGATTATAGATACCTTTTCTGTGGTTATAAGATGTATTTGATGTATTTAAGCTATTGTATTCATGAATACAGTAGCAAAAATAGGCGTGAATCAGGGAAGTCGAGCTAATCAGTTGTTGTATTCGAGTGTATTCGACTGTATTCATGGAGTGAAACGTGGGATTACAGCTGGACAGATTATTGTATTCGAATGTAATCGACTGTATTCACGGCGTGAAATAGGGAATTACACTGTTTTCAAAACGGAAAGTGAATCAATTAACATAATAGACTCCTAATATAACTCAACAAACTCAATTATAACACATAAATTTTGTATTTTCAGTTATAAAAAAGATTCTCAACCGAAAAATACACCAAAAGTATAGCGAGACAATTGAATACAATGAAATACATAAAATACATTGAAATACAATGGAAAAAAAGACGGTGAATATGAAATACCTGGAATACAACGAAATACATTGAATTACAATGGACAAAAAAGACAATGAAATACATGAAAATACATTGAAATATATTAACAGAAAATCAAGTTGCTCAGCCCCAAACTCCGTCGCCTTTGTTCAAGAACAAACCTAATTTCAATGCAGAGCGTTAGAGCGTTGTGCTCGGAAGTTTAGTGGTAGAATAAGACATACGACTAATTGATCATGGTGGCAACAGCCATTCAG